CGCACTGCTGCTGTCCCATTTGCGAGTAGAAATTCGCTGCCGCCCAGCTCGGCCAGTGACTTATGGAGAACAGCTGTGGGCAGGAGGACAAGGTCAGCTTCAGAGGCTACCCCTATGGGCCTCTGCAGACCCCAGAAGCAGCGCAGGGTAATTTAATGGTATCTGTTCTCTGTTACTCCTGTGTTCTGCTTTGCATGCGCAGACCGCCTAGCACATGCGGGCAGAGGACTTGTCAAACCCCAGGACCGTGCAATGGTTTGTTTTCCATGGTAACCGTCATGCTAAATTCATTGTCGTGGTACCTCAGAGCCAGGTGAATGATTCTTTCTACAAAGCCTTCCACACCTAGTCACAAAGGATTCCATAATGGATGTTGATTTCAAAAGCAGATTTAAGAGAAATTCACACCTAAAAATGACTCATTAGCTGGATGTGAGGATGTGTATCTGTAATCCCAGCACCCAGAAAGCTGAAACAGGAATATCATGAACTCAAGGCCAGTCTAGAGCTACACAGAGAAAGTCTCAAAAATAAAGAACATGGAGTTGGGGAGATGGCTTAGTAGACAAGGTGCCTGCTTGCTGTGCAAGTATGCGGGGCTTGAGCTCAGAACCCCAGAGTCCACTGGGTAGCATGAATGTAACCTGTAGTAACATGTATGTGCCCCAGGGGAGAGGGATGGAAGTGAAGACAGGAGAATTCCCAGAAGCCAGCTAGCCTCATATAGACAACAGTGACCAAAAGACCCTGTTTGGACTTAGAGTGTGAGAACCAACACCTGTGATTATCTCCTATTTCCACACATGTGCTGTGGCACACATGCACCCATGCCTACACACAGGCTGTGACACACCTGGACCTACGCTCACACACAAGCTGTGACACACCTGTACACATGCCCACACACATGAACACCTACATAGGGTTTTTTATTATATATAAAGGATATAGGAATAATCACAAAATAGCCAGGGAAGCAATGTGAAGCCAAGCAAAGGAAAAGGCAGGCCCTAAAGTGCTCACTGACCACAAAGAGGAGTCGCATCCAGGCAAGAGTGGCCAATTTGAAAATGTGACGTGGAGGGCTACCACATTGTCCATGCGGTGCCCTGTAGAGGTGGTGTAGGGCAGGATGAAGACGAGGAGGAGGAGGAGGTCAGACAAGAAAAAATGAAGGGAGATAGAGGGGGCAGAGGAGGAGATTGGTGGCTGTCGCCACACAGAAAAGATCCTGAAGGAAGACTCAATGGGCATCAGAAAGCTCTGAAGGGGGAGTGAGTTCATAGAGCCTGAGCCACTGTGCCCTTTGGCTGGCCAGGTCAGCAGAAGATGAGCCTCCTGGAACCATGACTTCAGGGATCTTTAAATAGTAAATGTCACCCCAAATGTCAAGGCCCTGGGAGTTTCTGAGCTCTAAAATCATTTAAAACTCCCCGGCACCCCGGAGTGCTCAAAGGTGTACACTTTCACCTCTCTGAAGGCCAGGCTGCTTCCCACCCGAGCTCTCCGGGCTTCTTCTACCCGTAAGATTAGCGCTTTTAGAAATACACTCCATGCCCTTTTTGGTAAGATCAAATCCAGGCGTGTCCCTAAGAGTGACATGCATCTGTTCTGTAAATGGAGTCTGAATGGAAAGCATCTCTGGCTTTAATTTGACCGAGGCAATATTCCTGAACATGCTTAACTGTGCTCGGCCCCCTTGCAGGGCTGCAAGCTACAGGTTTAGACTCCCTTACCACACTTCTTTCAGGAAGGGAGGAGCCACTCTGGGGACACAGAGGCCTTTCTGCATCTCACAAATAACTGTATTCAAGGACACAAAGCCCAACTGTTGTAAAAATATTAGCATTCAGATGCTCTTGTGTTTTGTTAATGCCTTTAATTCCTCACAGCATGGCTCTTGTCTTCCCTCCTCATTGGCATGCACGTTTCTGTCAGCTACAGAATTTATAGCTCCAGCTCCAGAACCAGGCTCCTAGGTGCTCCTGCTGCCCTCCCCACCTGTAAGTCCGCACTGCACCCCTGCAAACCTCACCTCTCCAAAGCACCCCGCAGAGTGCTGTGTGCGCCTTTCAAACACTGTATGGCAACCGAGCTTAAGTACTGCTAGAAATAGCCATGTTCCTTGTTATTCATGACGAGCCAGTGGTCATGAAAGAAGGGTGCCAGCAGGCATCTCCACCCACTTGGTCTTGTCCTTTTCTCAGTCACCCTGAACTGACTGACCCGTTCCCACAGTACCCAACATGATGGCACGTGCCATCCAATAGAGGCCTGGATGAGACTGTAGCCATCCTGGTTCCCAGAGTTTGCCTGTCCCTTTGTCACCAGCAAATATTTAGACTGCAAGATGGGGTTGTGGCTCAGCTTTGCAGTAGGGCCCCAGTTAAGAACTTTGAGATGGAGATCATGCTATTTGTGGGTCAGTTTCTAGACCCTATGATTTTCTGGGTTTGGAAGCCTTTGCGATATGGGTGCTGTATTTATGCAAACTTCTTTGACTATGTGCAACCAAGGGTACCACCTGCCTCAGACCCCTTATCAGCTGTCCCAGACCCCACCGACCTGTCAGCCGTGTGGCCACATCCCATATCTGATCAGAGGAGCCTCAGACAGCTGTGGAAAGCTTGATCATTTCAACTCACCCTGGAAACCTTGGGACAGTCACACACTAAGAAATAAGAGAGGCACACTGGAGTCAAAAGTCCCAGAAGACATTTTACATATGTTCCATTTTTTTCTCCATCATCTGGAACAAGGAAACCAGGTGACCAGCACAGTGTCATCCTGGCCCTGTGAGCAGCTCTAGCAGCAGAGGTTGGGTCCTTCTGTGTGAGCTCTCTACACAAAGCACGGGTGGGGAAGCAGAAGTGCCGCGCTGCACCTCTGATAGTGTTCTCTCTGCCTCTGTGAGTGCGTGCACACTAGTCTACCCCTCACCAAGTCTCTATGTGACTGGTGCGGATCCCGCATCAGCTATGCTGGCCCCAGAGAGCAGCTGCTCAGGTGGGATAGCCCACCCAGGAGTGCCTGCTTCATGTCTGCCTTGGGTACCAGTACCCGGATCTTAACGAGAGTGAAGGCAGAGAGTGTTTTCTTAGGAAGTGCAATCCTTTCACAATTCATTTCATACTCTGGTGTGTCCCACATTGCCTTCTACAGCATTTAGGTCTCTTGTTGTCAGGACAAAATACCTTCCCAAGGCAGCTTAAGGAAGAGCAGGTTTATTCTGGCCCACACTGTGAAGGTCGGGTACATCGTAGCCAGTGGTAAGAGTGAGCTGAGTGGTCACATTGCACACAATCAGGAAGCAGAGGGAGACTGCGGCTTGACTTGCTTTCTCCTGTGTACTCATTCCAGACCCCTTGCCGGTGCAGTGATACCACCCACATCTAGAGTGGGTCTTCCTGCTGCAATTAACCCCATCTAGAGACTCTCTTACACACGTGTCCACAGGCTTATCTCCTAAGTGATTCCAGTCGTCTCCCGGGTGATTCTAATTGTCTCCTAGGTGATTCCATTCATCTCCTGTGTGATTCTAGTTGTCTCAGGCAATTCTGTCAAGTCGATAATGATTATTAGCCATTGCGTCTCATTGCAAACGAAGACTCTCACAGGGACTGTTCATCAAGGCTGCTGGTCCTTCAGCAGGCCTGAGGCCATCTATCTCTGGAAGTTCTGCTAGCCAGCTGGGCCCTGTGAGGCGTACGGAGAGATGGCATATCAGGAGTGCCCATATGCAGTATCTCCTCCTAGAGAATGGTACTCAGTGCTTCCAAACTGACCGTAAACATTCTCCTTTCCGGGAATATGGAATCTCTAGCCTCACCAGACAGGGAGTCTCAGGGACAACCTCCCTGATACCACAAGGACAAACCACCAAGCAAATGGTATTGCAGAGGTGTACCATGAGCTTGCTGTAGGATGTGATGTAACCCCCTGTGGTCACACGTATTTTCTTAATGAGTGGGGCTCCAACTTCTCTGTGATGTACCAGGGCTGCCAGCGGCAATGTTCAGGTCCTGTGGGTGGTTCTGATGAGTCATGGAAACGTGGTGCTTATGATACCCTGACACAGTCACCAGAAAACACCTTCAGCAAAACAGTGTCCCCACCCACGGCCTCCTTGTTTCAGCCCTCTGGGTCTCTTCCTTCTCTCTGCCTCCCTGGAACAGAAATCTGGCAAATCCTTGGCACTGCCTGGTCCCTCAGCCTGGCCTAGGCACCACCACTGTCATGAGGGGAGTATGCACATCCCGAACTCTGGGTAAAGTGGCTGGCTGATGGGTAGACTGTAGGGAGGGTCAATAAAGGATGGAAAGGGAGTGGATAGATGGGCGTTAGGAAAGTGTGGCTAAGCCAAATTTCTACAGGTGAGTGTGAGACCTAGGAGAGGAAGCTAAGTGACAGTCACTTAAACCCAACACTGTAACTTGAGAGAAGAATAGACTTAGTGCCTGGGTAAGCAGCTCCCAGGGCCAGGAGCCTCCTGTGGAATCTGGGAGAGAGGAAGGCCCCAGTGACCTGCTTCCCTAGGTGTGAGCTTCAGGAAGATGTGAGGAGTCTATTCTCTACTGAGAACACTAAAACCACCTTTTGTCAAACAACGGTTTCAACATTTGGGGCTCGTACATCAGTAGCCTTAACTTAGATAGTAGACACAAGATACTAACACTACAGAGCTCTCCAGTGCAGGGAGTAACTCGGGAGAAGTTTTGGGGCATCATTGCTATGGGTACTCAGGCCATTCCCACCTTGAGGGGGTGGGGGTGACCTTTAGATGAATCGTGAAGATGGCCCCTAAGTCTCCTATACCAAGCAAGCTCAATCCAGGCTAGCTCCCTCCAGTTGAGGCAATCCAAAGTGCTGTGGGGCTCCTGGACCCAACAATTAGCTCGGGTTTTATAGGAGACAGCTAGCTCAAGACCCCAGGAAGAAAGCGGCTTTGTCCCTCAGTAGGCCATGCACAGGCCCACATTCATATCGCATTGTTGTTGCAGGGGAGGCAGATGCGATCCAAAACAATGGAGCCTCGGCTGAGGACACGGCGGTGACAGACTCCAAGCACACAGCAGACCCAAAGAATAACTGGCAGGGTGCCCACCCAGCTGACCCAGGGAGCCGCCCCCACTTGATCCGCCTCTTTTCCCGAGATGCCCCAGGAAGGGAGGACAACACCTTCAAAGACAGGCCCTCCGAGTCCGACGAGCTCCAGACCATCCAAGAAGACTCCACAGCAGCTTCCGAAGGCCTGGATGTGATGGCATCGCAGAAGAGACCCTCACAGCGATCCAAGTACCTGGCCACAGCAAGTACCATGGACCATGCCAGGCATGGCTTCCTCCCAAGGCACAGAGACACGGGCATCCTTGACTCCATCGGGCGCTTCTTTAGTGGTGACAGGGGCGCACCCAAGCGGGGCTCCGGCAAGGTGAGCTCCGAGGAGTAGAGGAGCCGTGGGGTTAACGGCAGAAAGGAAGGAGAGGTGGGCAAATGAACTGGGCACATGTCCCTGTGTCTGAGATACTGGTCCTAGCCGGACAATGGTGATGGCCCAGGGGCGTGGCCTTGGTCACCTCTTAGCCTATTTCTACTTGTTCTGTTCCCTTTGTCACAAGGGGCAGTGACTGGGGTGTCACTCAGGAAAGCAAGGGTCTTCTGCATCTGAAATTTGGGGCACCCTGGATGTGACATTGAGAGAACCTGTCTTAGGTGTGTGTGCCCTCTGCCTGGGGCTTCCGCTGATTCTGCCTCTGCACAGTGCTTCTGGTTTCAGTCCTGATTTGTGCTCATTCGCTGCTGGCTCAGGCTGCTAACTTCTCGCCACTGTGAAGCAAAGGTCCATTGAGGAGATGGAGGTCTGCAGAGCAAACCCCTCCCGTCTCCAGGAAACTTTCCCCTTGGTCTTAAGTAGTTTGTTGGGGGCGGGTGGAGGAATGAATGAATGCTCATGAGTCAAAGCTTTATTATTTTGTGAGTCCATTAATTTAAATATAAACTGTGTTTCCTGGTGTTTCAAAAGCAAATGTTCTGTGGATGAAAACAAAAATTGTATCAGAAGATAAAAGATACAGATAGCCCAGTTTCCAAGAGCAACACCTGGGGAGGGATGCATTAGCCTGTGGTTCGGGTTTGTCTAGCAGCTAGTGACAGGTGGCCATTACCCTTCAAGTGTGCGGCATTTTCTGTAACTCTGTTTGACGGCTGGGCAACTCTGGGGAGGAGTGTGGGTGGGAACGTTCAAAACAAGCCCTGGTATTTGAGCAGCCTGTGAGTTGTGACTAAGAGCCTTGCAGAACTCAAGCAGCTCTGGATGAAAGTGTGGGACAGAGGCCTCTCCATGGCTCTGGGGCCGTTGGCAGGGCAGATTTCCTGAAGTGCTGTGGTCACCAGCCACACTTTTGAAAGAGAGAGTAACCGTGAACTGCTGAAGGTGAGCTCTCCGTGGCCACCAGAGCCCCTTGGCATCTCAACAGCCGTTGGTCCTTGTTAGGATGTCACCACAACTTGCTTGTCATTAACCCTCGGTGTGTCTGACCTGCCGACAGAATCCAGGTGCATGTGGCTCCTTTGCAACCTGTACTAGACATTGCTCTCGGTCGTTGGCAGGGCTCTCAGCCTGATACATCAATCCTAGGGCTTGTTTGTAACTTGCATTAGTGTGGCTTTTCAAGCGTTCTTCTCAAGGCATGTCAGTTCTGAAGGGTCCATACTATCTGTCCCCTGAGGCCTATCTGTGAAACTAAGCCCCCGCCCCCTACACACACACACACACACACACACACACACACAGAGAGAGAGAGAGAGAGAGAGCCTCACCAGCCTAGAACCCTTAACCTGGTCTGTGCAGCTGAGGAGACAAGAACATGCTTTTGTGCTGTGCAGGAAAGGTGAACCAGCTGGAGGGAATCAGCTTTGTGGTTGTGGCTCAAGTTGCAACACCATAGCATGTCCGTGGATAGCACCTCTCCCGGAATGCACAGATGTGTACTGTTTTGAAACCACATGCCCTTCAAATGTTTCACAGGAGACAGTAAAGGCTCAGAAGCAGTCCTAATATCCACAAATAGTTTCTCTTAGATTATCAAGGTTTCTGAGGGAGAGAAAACATTTTCACTGGAGATATATATATATATATATATATATATATATTATACACACACATATATATATATAAAATTTTTAAATAATTGGGATTTTTTTAAACTTAAGGTATTAAGTCTCTGCATCTTTGCTGTGCATTCTGAATATGAAAAAATTTTTAAATGAACAACCTTTATACAAAAAGTGTCCCTTAATGTTTGTATATGTGATCCTTATTTTCTCATTGTTTATTTGTTTGTTTGTTTTAACTCACATACAAAAATAGGGTTATGGCATTTCCATAGAACTTGTGTGTGTTGTTGGCCTTCCCCTGTACCCCGCCACCAAGCTTGTCCCAGATATAGCACCTTCCTCTGCTGAAAACACACAGCAAAGGCCTGGTCCTGGTGGCCAAACCTATTCGATTGTTGGAGATGAAAATTTAGCTCACTCGCACCGAGCTATGAATCACAATCACCCTAGCAGCCCAGCCGGGGCCAGCTTCTGGAGTACTTGTTTCTATTTGTATTTTGATGTTTGTAGATGGGGGGCTCATTTTCCTTGGCGCCAAAGGTCCCTGAGGAAGCTGCAAGGAAAAAAGCCCAAAGCCTAGGTAGCTGTCGCTGTCATTCTAAGACAGGGGTCGCACTCACATGCAGGGTGCTCATGTAGGACCACAGGGTCCACCACCCGCCACTTGGAGACGCAGCTATAGCCTGGCCTTATAGAACCAGTTCTCCAGAAGGAATCTGGGAGACACCCTCCTTTACCCCACAAAAGGGCTTCTGGTCCTGTTGCCTCCTGCATCCTCCCTCCCCAGGCACGTGGTGCCTCCGTGCCATGCAGAGCCACCACCCCCGGCTCACAGAATGCGGGGACAACACCCAGCCTTTGTGTGGTTGCTGGGCTGACATTCAAAGAAAGCTCATGAAGAATGCCCTGAGAAGGCATATTCTTCTGAGACCCGTGGTGAAAAGTCCATTGACAGAGCATTCTCTTTTGTCCTGGTAAGAAAGGGAGGCTGTGCTCTGGCCTCTGAGGAACAGGTCTCCAAGCCAGTAGGATGCCTAGGCCTAACGAGGGTGTGAGGAGGTAGGTGGCTTTAAGGAAGAGATCAAAGGCACCTGCTCCAACCCCTTTACCTTTCACCTACTGCTGAGCTCAGCAGCCCCCAGTCCTAGGGCAGTCCCAGGCCCACCAACCGCTGTCTCGGGATGTAAATCATAGAAAGATCCCTTCCCATTCAAAGAAAGCATCTCACAGAGGACCTAAGCTGATCATGCAACACCGCATCCAGATCACACACACACACACACACACACACACACACACACAAGAAAGTAGCAGCTCATCTTCCTTCCATTCTTCCATCAGGGGGAGGATAGTCTAAGCTAAGCCACCTTACTGGTGGCTCCACCTCTATCTTTTTTTATTATCTATTTATTTAATATGCAATCTCCATTTCTAACCTGCCAGTGTAGGCCTTTCGTCACTTAGTCTGCAGATGGCTGCTCTGCCTCTCGTTTTGACAGGCCAGGACGAAGTGCTGCTGGGCGTAATCCATCTTGTGAATTGGCCAGTGTCTGTTCCCTGACTCTTTCTACCGCATTCTAATGTTGTATTAAACATATCTCCATTCTCCAGTAACTTTGGTCTTCACTGTTAACTTTGGCGTCCGAAGGTTGCAGATACACTTGCCACCCTGTGGCAAGTCACATGAAGTGAGCGGTCACATGAAGGACACAGTGGGAGTGCCCATGTGATCCTCCCAGAGTTCCAGTAGAGCCACTGTCAGAGAAAGTGTTTGCCATTGCTACCTGCTAATAGAGCACTCGGGGGTCCAGGCAGAGGCAAAACTTCCCCATAAGGCACTAGGGACCATCGTGCCCCTCCCTGCCTCCCATCCACTTGGCAGTGTTTTTCAGAGGCATGTTAGAGAAAGTCCGCCTATGAAAGCATCTGTGTCCAAGGTCATACTTTTGAGATTTCTTGTATGAATTACTTTAATGAGTAGCCTCACCTTGGTCCGTTATTGGTCCCTAGTGTCTAACTCTGCCTGTCTGCTGCGCTGCTGGCCACAGCCATCCACTGCTACTTAAGTGGGCGGCAGTCATCCTGGGAGTTTGGCGGGCAGTGCGCCCTCTGTAAAAGTGGGATGTTTGTAAATTGTGTTTGTATTTAATGGCGATACCCTTAGGTGGTTGTATTGCGATTTGATTTTGCTGTAAACTTCCGCGTAATGTATATCTCTGCCTTTGTATGCACTCATTAAACATCTTAACAGACCAAAGATGGTGTACTAATTGCATATGGACTTTTCAAGTTGTATTTTTATTTTATTAATGGTTTTGTATGACTGGCATCTCCACGGCCTTGAGAAACGCCCACAGGTAAGTCTGGGCACTGAAACTCTGTCACCTCTGGCGATGGCACGGTCCCCGGTACTCTTGCCGTGGCAGCGTGGTAGCTAGCTCTTTCCCTTCCCATAGTCGCTGTCACTCCTGCAGCGCTTAACGGCATGTCCTGAGGATGGAAGGGACGTGAGGGCACAAAGGAACCGACCCAGGAAAGCCCACGGTTACTGAGGATCTAACTTTTCTCTTTGCTGTAAAATTCCCCACAAAGCAACACGTGGAAGGGCAGGCTTATTCCAGCTCACATTTGGCACACCATAGCGGCAGGAGCTGGATGGAGGCAGCTGGTCACATTGTATCCCCAGACAGGAGACAGGGAGGTGGAGGCTGCTGCTCAGGGGGGAAATTCTCCTTTTCCTTCAGTCCAGAATCCCAGCCCAGCGCATAGTACGTGAAGGCGGGTCTTCTTATCAATCAAGATAATCTCTTCTGAACCCAGAGGCCTGTCCCTTCTGTGTCTAGCTCCTGTGAGGTGGGCAATCAGTGTTAGCTATCACACTGAGTGAACACACCAGGACAGCCCTACTGGGCTCTCCAGGGAGGTCCAAAGCCGCAGGGCTCCTGCAGTTGAACCCAGAGGTAGGGCCAGGCTCCTCTTGAGAGTAATGCTGGATAAACCTGATAAAGTCTGATAGATGTCAGAGATAAAAGCAAAGACAATAAGCAATTTAGAAGGTGACCTGTGTGACTTCCTCTCCAGGGACCCTGATCCTGACTCTCACCTCCTTCTAAACCCATGTCCACTTTAAGGGATTTATTTCCCAATCATTGGTATGTCTTTCCGTTAAAAAAAAAAAAAAAAAGATTAGCCAGATGGTGGCGAGCAGCTCTGACTGGCTGGTCGAGAGTGTAGCTTGGCAGCTGAAGAACCAGATCGTTGTACGGAAAATAATCCCTCTTTGAGCTCATGTTGAAAGTCATGGTGACGCCAAGATACTGGCTTAGTATCTACAGTTGTGGGACGATCCCATCAAACCGTGGCTGAGTATTTTATCTTGAAGTTGTTTATTTGTTTAGGAACAGGAAAAGCAGAGAGCAGGAGCTCAGAGAAAATGAAGTGTCCCGGGGGAGCCCCCTACATGTGAGCTTAGTGCCTCTGCTTGTTCTGATGGGATGTTCTTCACGCACACACACACACACACACACACACACACACACACACACCACTCCTTCAAAGATGCAGGTACACCTTAGGCTCGGAAGTACTTGCTTGCCAGTTAGGTAATCGAGACATTTTCTTCTTGTCAGCCTGCACCTTCCTTGACTCAAAGCTCAAACCCTGGCGAATCTGCACAGCAAGGGAAAGGCTTATTATCCTTTGTCTAACCCTGCTTGGGAGCAGTGACGTCAGGGTACAGATTACACGTCTGTAAGCATCACCAGGTCACACTTTCTCAGAGCCATGGCTTTGCCTAGAGCCATCTGCCCACTTTGTGTATAGATGTCAGCCTTCGGGGGTGCGGGGAGCTCACAGTGACTTTCATTGGGAAAGCTGTCCTGTTCTACAGAGAAGACCCTAACGGGCTTCTCTACCACCTTTCGTCCGCGTGTGTAGCCTGGGTTTGCTCAGCCACCCTCCCTTTCTCCGTTGAGAGTTCACTCTGGGGACAGTCAAGTTTCCTCAAACAGAAGCCCACACAGGCTTCCCCCAGAGGGTTTACTCCGACGTTAATACTGGAGTTCCTCATTCTTCAGCTCCCGATGGAGCGAATTTAAGTCACCAAAATCTCTTGCTAGGATAGAAGTGGGTGAGGACTCACTAGAATAGGACTGTATGGGTGACGACTCTTGTTCCTGAGACGTACCACTGAGCACAGGTCACCGCAGAAGCTCCTCTTGGAACCCTGGTGTGTTGACTTTCAGTGGTTCTACAGGAACTAGCGAGTCACACCCTTCAGCCACCTTCTGGCACAATGCTCCTACCCATCATTGACAAGACCATTCACCTGCCCCAGAGCAAGAGTCTGGAACCTACTGGATGGACATTCTTTCTTGACTGACCACTCTAAGCAGTCCTTCCCCATTCTCCCCTTCCCTTCCCCTCCCCCCTCCATTTCTCTCACTTCCCATCATCCCCCTTTCATCCCCTCCCTCCTGGTTATTTTACCATGAACAGTGAAAAGGACAGAGATGCCTCTGGCGGGCCATTTACTTGTGCCCTCTGATTCTGTTCTTGGAAGCTCGTTTGGCCTTCCTTGAGGTCAACATACTCTCTCATAACTAACACTCTAAATTAGGATACTCTGAATCAGGAATAAATCCCATGCCACAAAACTTATAGCAGTAGAGTTGAGACTAACATGACTCGTGCTAGGGAAAGAGTGGCGTCCCTGAGTCCCTGAGCTTCACCAACAAAGAAGGTAGGCAGAGAGTGTCACTCCATGTGACTGCAAGCGTGACCCCGAACACTGCAGGTCCTGAAGTCATCTGGAACTCTGTAGAAGCCTTGAAAAGGTTACAGAGTGCCATTCACGTCTGAGTCCTACTTGGAAATCCAACACAAACACTACTGCATTTGCCCCTTGAGAATAAAGGCCTGCAAATAAAACTCAATGTGAAATGAGGCCGTTCCCTTGCAATTCCATAGTAGGCTTCCAAAACCCTTCACTACACCAAACAAGCAAACGTTCCTTTGCCTGCTGGAGGTCAGCTGCACTGGTCCTAGAGATTGTCGGAGGACTGCAGGGCTCTGCAGGCGGTGCCCACACTGGACTCACCCAGCCCACTCTGTCCTCCTCGGCAGGTACCCTGGCTAAAGCAGAGCCGGAGCCCTCTGGCCCACAGCCGTCCTGGGCTGTGCACCATGTACAAGGTAAGCTGTGGTCACTGTCCCTTCAGCCAAGGGTCACCTGTCTGTGACAATGCTCTTTGAAAGAGTCACAGGGGTTAGGACAGGCAGCTCCTTCAGGATCTTACTGTGTCCCTGGGGTCCAAGAGGTCTTCAGGGCATCTGTGAGACCCTGAAGGGATGCAACAAGGAAAAATTTCAAAACAAAACAATAACAACAACAAAAACATGTAGGAGGTAGAGAGGCTGTCTTTGAGTCTGTGGTGCAAAATCTGAAAGAACCAACCAGGACACGGTAGAGCTGTCACGTCATCATAATATAGAAGGCCATGGGAACAAGCTATGATGTGGCCTTCTGTAATGCCACACAGGCCGAAGAGTCACCAAGAGTACTAGCCTAGAAGGACCAGCCTGGACCAGGTCATTGCCTGCCTGTGTTCCCTAACTACTTGGAAAGCAAGCTCCTATCAGATATCAAGCACTCCCCAAATATCAGCTGAGTTAAACTCAAATGGCGAATGTCCTTCTTAAGTCCAGTCCCCTGATATCGTCCCTCTGAGTTTGTCACAGAGAGCATGACTGAGATCCGCCTCATTTCCCAGTATGGACACTCACATACTGTGGACACAGCTGGGCAAGGCAGCAACAAGAGGGGGATCCTTCAGTCAACCACGGTTGGGACTGCTCCTCATGCAAGCTGAGCGTCACCACACACATCGTGCGTCTGTCAGTGACCGTTTCACATAGACGCACACACCATCTGAACCTTGTCATCTGCCTTTGTTAAAGACAGAAGGTGAAAGGTTTGGAAACAACTTCTCAGAGACCTAACCACTAGAACATTCTCTATCTCTGCTCCATCGAGCACCTATCAGGAGGGAGGATGCCAAGGGGTCAGTGACCATACAATTCTGCCACGTAATAAACGTAAGCCAGAGAGGGGGCTCTCTGTGATCAAGGCAGGCAGCAGGAAGGGTGTCCATAACTCAAGGGCTTTGGACTCCCTGGGACAGATGATTTATGATGAGACTGTGTAAAAGCTTGCGCAGGGATCTGCTTGAGGTAGGCACCCTGGGGAGCAAGCAGCAAGTGCTTGATATGGGCACTGTCCCATGCCTTGCCACAGAGACGTGAAGAATGAGGAACATTCCCAATGGCCTCTAAGATGGCCAGTCAGGGGCCAGGACTGAGAAGGCAGCAGAGAAAAGCTGGGCCTTGGGTGCGAGTCCAGACATGGGCAGTACTAGGAGTCGTGGGAGTGACGGGAATGAGTCACAGTGCCTGGTGTGTTGGAGCCTGCTCCAACAGCATCAGCTGGGGGTACCTGGGAGGGGGTGCTGAGGCTGAAGAGGTGTTAGAGTGAGAGAAATTGAGACAGAAAACACAGAATAGATTTGAGGCACTGCCAGGTTACTCTGCACAGCCTCGAGTTTATTTCTCAGCCAGCGTATATACTAATTACAGGCAAAAAACAGATCAAAGAACAGCCTAATCAGTTAACCACCTCCCTACACTGTCCTTGAGTGTCATTGCCTATCCCACGAGTCCTGCTAGCAACAAACAACTTTTATTTTTTTTTCTAACTGGATGTGCCTTTAGCTGGCATTCAACAGTCTGTATCTAAATAGATAATGTGTTCTCTCTCATGGGCAAAAATGTTCTTTCCCATGGGCCTAATCTATTATCTGTGGGTTCCCGTTTTCATTCAAACCGAGTTTGAAGACTGGCTTGATCACACATTAGGGCCAAGGTAGGACAGACAGGAGTTATTAGGTGCTATATATCATATTTCCATGTCTACTGTGAGGGAAAACAGATGTAAGCCAAATCTAGAGGCAAGACACTGATGTATTCTACCAGGCAACAGAGACCTGTTCCAGGACCCGTGCGCGGAAGTTACCCCTGCCTTCCTGATACACCAGGGAAAACACAGCCATGGTTCTGGGTCTGTCCCCATGGCAGGTAAGCACAGAGGCCAGTGTCTGTCTAACAGCCTGGGATTTTCTCTCTCAGTCGCAAGCCCACGGGACTTTCCTAAGGATTGTCTACCCTCTCACGTGGGGGATGTCCTCCTCCAGCACTGAGGCTGTCTTCATTATGTTAAGAAAGGTGGTGATGAGTCACAGGTATGGATCAGCATCAGCCACAGGGAAAGCCCAGCCAGGCCTGGCCTCATTCAAGGTTTCAGAAAGACTCTTGACTCTTGTCATTCAGGATTTCGTGACTTGAAACAAGCTTGCTAAGGAGATAAAGGCGCTAGGTGGGGGCCACAACTTAAAGGCATTGGAAGCTGCTAACTTTCTCTCTCTTGCAAGCTGAAAGCTCAGAGGACACAGGTGAGCACTGCTGGTAGCTGTGAATGCTTCTTCCTGGCTTTGGAACCAGGGCACATCCCACGTACTCTGCTAAGAGGGCACCTCTGTTTGTGTCAGTGGAGAGACAGGTACACGTGCTCTTCTAACACACCTGCAGGCCCTGTAATGAAAACCCACCTTCTGTGAAGGAGGTCACACCCGCTTGGTCCCAGCACCACTATGGCCTCCTCCCCGCTAGGCATTCTTCAGTTCCAAGAGACTCAGACATGTTCTAGGGCTGGCCATGCTTGTTCTCTGGAGCCTGAGGGGCAAGTGGGAAGGAGCAGAAAGAGATAAATAGGAGAGTGTCTGAGAAAAGCAAAAATTCCAGAGGGGGGAAGAATGTGCATCTCAAAGTGGCGACTAGCTCCCCAGAAATGCACAGACAGGTCTCGCAGACCCCATATGGGCAGCCTTCTTCTCCCTTCCTCCCTTCGTTCCGGCATTGTGGATGGTTGGCATGGCCTGGCATGGCCTGGCATGGCCTGACACCAGGCAGCAGCATGTTCTGCTAAAGGGGAACATGATGAACAAAATGAGGCAGGAGCGAATGAGACCCTATCTGTGAGGACCGCCTCTCATTGCCTGTGTGTGTGGCTTGGCAAGAATCCTGGGGGAGCAGTGGACAGAAATGGCCATCTCCACTGTCCACATCACCAGGGGAGCAGTGGACAGAAAGGGCCATCTCCACTGTCCACACCACCAGGTGCTTTGTCTCTGCTTCATTTGGCAGGCTTCTTAGCCTCTCCTTGCCAGCCTGGCAGGGTACTGTCCAGCCATCACCACTGCGCACATCCCAAGAGGTTTCCCAAAAGGCCCACACTGCATCTGACCCACCAGCTCTGGGATTCTGCAATCTTTGGTCATAAAGCAAGAATCAAAGACTGAGGGTTAGGTCTCATTCTATCAGCCAGTCTGCAGAGGAATGTCCCTGGGCTATGGCCTCCTCAGATCTAGGCTTGCTCACTTGGGAAGCGGCTGTGACCAGAGAGAGGCCTGTTATCTGTCCAGAGAAGACTTGGTGCTGAACAAGTGAGAAAGATCTGTGTGCTCAGAGCAGACTTCCTGGTAATGCCATGGGCAATCTCACCTCTGTGTACTCTGTTCCAACCTGTTCTAGAGGACCCAAGGTCACCCTGAGAGGGCAAGCTGGACCTGCAGGCTCCAGGGGCTCCATCCACCCTGTGCTGCTACAGCCTTCGGGCACTGTGTTTCTGTTCTTGGGTCTGTTTCCTCAGCTGTTAAATTGAGAGTGTGATTTAATTGGGGTGCATTACAGATACTGTTTGAAGACTCCCAGCCTACTGGTCTTCTGTCTTCAAGGAGGTTCTTATCAGGTGAGGGATCTCAATCCTCCTGAGGTGGAAGCAGGGCCTCAGCAGGCACCAGGCTCCTTAGATGGTTCTCCGCCCCAGGAAGTATAACCTGCAGATCTGCATACAGAGGGATTCCCCATGCACTGGGAACCCGCCTGACTGTTTGGTGAATCTGACTCCTTCCTCATTGCCCCACACATGGCTCTGGGTAGATCTGGATGGTTTTTGTGGTCGCACATGGGAATGGGTCCTCAGTCTGTCTTTGGAGCAACTGTTGGCCAGGAGAGGAGGCCAGCTCTCTGCCTGAGGTCCAGCCGTCTAGCACAGGGACGTTTGTGCAACCCCTGTACCTGTTTTGAGCTCAAGGCCTTGTTCTTTGGAAAGTCTGTCTTTGTTTCGCTATCTTTCCAAAGAAACCTCCCCAGACCCACACATTGTGCAAACGGACACAAAGTTCCAAAGCCGCAAAACCAGGCACATCCTACAATCCCAGCACTAGAGGAGGGAAGGGCGATTACATGTTAAAGCCCAGCCAGGGCTACAGAACATGACCTTGTCCCCAAAGAAAACAGCTCCGTATCATCAGTGTTTGGCTTATACTTCTAGTGTGACTTCTGTTTGGTATTTGTATTTGATGGTATGCTTTGGATATAATGGGATCTCAAAAACAGTGGGTCCCTGGAAGCAGTGAAGAAATGGGAGTATCAAGGCTCATTCCACTTCCCACCGTATTTAGAAGGAAGCAGGATCGAAGCCCCAGGAACTAAAGGATGCTGGGGCAAGGTGCCACCAAGCTGCTGACCTACTCAAGAAGGAGAGGCAGAGCAGTCATGTCTGCTGCTAATAGCCTGCAGCTCCCACAGAGCCCTTGTCACTCCTTTTCTGGGGAGCCACTGGCCAAGAGAAGCCTGGAAGCAGGCATCAGAACTGGACCCCTGTGAAGCCTGGAAATCCCTGGCCTAGAGAGCACCCAGTTAATCCCAGAAGTGTGTGGGACCGCCTGGGCTTTCTGTCCATCTTTCTGGTCAAGTCTGAATCTCAAGTGCACATCCCAGGAGGTAAGAAGTCCAGAAGATTCTGCCGCTAATCCTTAAACTGCCAAAGAAAGGGGCAAAGTTGCCAGAGAAGGCCACAGCATTTTTATTCTCCATGTCCTGGAGCAACACGAGGGAGCTGGTGCCTCCAACATTGCAGCAGTTGCCCCTTCCCACTTTGCAGCCAACCAAAGAAGCTTTCATTTCACGATTGGCTGAAGGTCAAACTCTCCCTCTTTGGAACTGGACCCTGGAATGTGTGACAAAGCATCATCCTTGCACCAGGGACACAAGGATGGACACTGGTGGTCCTCAGTTGT